CAACGACATACAAAAATAAGGTTTTTAGGCCTTTATCCGTAAACTCCTTAAAATCTAAACCCCCTGGTTCTGGGCCGCCGCAACCGGTTAAGGAGATAAGCACGCATGTATGTGGGTTTGTGGGATTGTACTGTTTCGTATTATACCATTTATCGTGCACTTCTTCGGGTACTGATTCGAGGCTGCTGGCTTCATCGTGCTTGGCACTGGCAACGTATCAGAGGCTCCCGCATGACATGATGCAATGGCGCAGTTACAAGCCACAGCCCACGAGAATCACTGTCAACCAAAAATTGTTGGCATCATGTTGAGGGCCCTTGGCTGCAGGCCTGCATGTGGATGGAGACATACAACCTCGTGTTGCTCGGCAGAACTGCAGAAACGCACTCTATGGGTCCTCTCCAAGGAGTTTAGCTTAGCACAAGCCTTGATAACATACCCTGGCATCAAAGACTCCCGCATCGAAACACACAGTTCACTTCTTCAAGGTATGGTCGCAGCCACAACCCACATGGACTACATTTGACCCCTGGCGGCTCCAGTGGCGGCACGGCTGCGCTGGTGGCGGCCCTTGGGGCGCCGGCGCCCCGAGCTAGCGTTTCAGGCTGAGTGCTTGGTTCAGTGCAGTTCCTTTTGAATCTGCAGTTTGCTGTCTAGGTGTAAAGCTCTTGCGAACTGATCGTTACAGGTCTCTGGAGGGACTTCAGTATAACCTGAATCGCAAGGACGCGCTGTTCTTCGCCAGGTAGGCCTCACTGCAGACATCGGTGGATCGACGCGCATACCCGCCCTCTTCAATGGACTGTCCCTCCCTGAGATCCTCCTCTGTAAGGGATTCCTGCAGTCATATCGGGAACTAGCCCACTTTTCCGTTTGCATCCTCGTCGCATCCATACTTCGGATCCGGAGGGAGCCAATCAATCCTGGTTCCGGCACAAGATTCTGGTGGAGGGATGTCAGCAAAGAGATCAGGAGTCGGAATCTCTGATGCTGAAAGCTCGGCCCAGCTTCATCAGTCCTGCAAAGCTTGCCCAGCAGTGAGCACTAAGAGCAGAGGTAGTGATAGACTCAGGTTCGGACACAAGCCCACCGGCGGCATCCTTCCAAACACGAGGACGCACCTCAACGAGTTCCACGGAGTGGCCTGGCACACAACTGATGGAATAGAAAACTCGAACGCATGCACTCAGACACGTTAGTTGAAGTTGATGCTTGAAATGAGGGAGTTCTTCGCGGGAATGCTTCCACTCTCAGCTGCTACAACCCATCTTTTGGAGTCATTCCAGTCCGACGCCGCTTCCTTGTGAGACGAAGCAGCAGTGAGCGTTTCCGCTCGGCATCTACTCGGAGGGGTCTGGTGGATGACAGTAGTAGTAGGGATGAAAGGAGCACGTTTTGCTTCGTGAAATGCTTCGGACCTTCGGTGGGATGATGCTGGTTTGATGACCGTTCTCAGTGCACAGATGCAGAAAGATATGTTCAGCCTGCAAGATGAAGACGTCGCAAATCCTCGACGCTCATTCGCTCAGGCGGTTTGTCGCATCTGCCAGCTGGGCATGGTCTGCCGCCATGCTGATGACATGCTGCCTCTGCTGAAGATTATGTCTGGGCTGCCAGACAGCACGGAGGACCACGCACAGAAAAAGATACAAGTCTTTGACAATGCCAAGCAGGATCCTTTCAGGCGACGCTTATGCTTAGAATCTCAGACTAGCAACGAATGCTTTTGGCAGGACCCTCTCGTCCACGAGTATCGCTCGCCACCTTCTTGGGGGCTCCCCAAGCTTGGGCCCCTTCGAGCCGCTTGGGTCAGGGGGTAATTGACACATCTGCGTTCGTGAACGCATTCATGTCGGAGACGACCTGTTCATGTGAGGACAGTGTGAAGGGATCTACAGTCACGCTTTATAGCAAGAGAGCTGCAGGTATTGCTTGGAGCGCGGCAAAACAAACGACCCTGTAAACTGCCCAAGACACGGGTCGGCACGAAGTGAAGACCCAGGGAAGCTGTCAGAGAATAAAATCATGAAATCCCTGCTGAGTTATCCGAGAAACGCAACTCTGCAGGACACGAGAGAGGCAGGAAGAGAGCGAGAGCAGCAAACCTCAGTCGCAGTGCTGAATAGCCAGAACTGTCTGGGAACTATGGTGATTCGTGAGACAGCTGTGCCGAGGGCAGAGTTGTTGTCGGCAGAGGACGCTCGTCAGTCCATCAAAGTTCCCCAGGGGGCATGGCACAGCGCGTCGTCGTGCGGCAGCTTGTGGGAAGTCCGCTGGGGCTGATGCCCACCAATGTTGTAGAAGAAAGAAGAAGGGAGAGACGGACGGAGCCCTCATGCCCAAGATAAGCTGCCTGAGACGGAGAGGTAGACACCGACACAGAGTCGCCAAAACTTTCAACGATCCATCCATAGATAAACAGTTTTGAGGATTTCACGAGCCTCACACCAAAACTACAAGAGCGCTCACAAATTTCGCAGCCGCTCGAGGTGGGATCTCTGCGCTTTCGAGGCGGCTGGCCGGGATCCGCCTCTCGGCCCTTCATTGAGATTCCGATTGAGAGAGTCTTCTCGTTTCTGTCATTTTCCTTTTTGCTGTTTCTGTGGTTAATGCAACCGTCTCTTCATGCACTTGCTAGTTGCTGCTCGCATTGTTGGTTTTGCTTGCTGCAGCTGGTGGGATAGGGACTTCGTGGGCGTGGGCCTGAAAGAAACCTTTTGGATCACCTACAATCGCCTCTCTTTGATGCGCTCACTCGCTCGCGCACTGACAGACTCACTCACTCACCCACTCATGCACACATGTGTCTCTGGTGGCATTCAAAGCAGCATGCTTCAAGCCGAGCAAGTGGATCTTAGCCCTGACCGCTGCCCTACCGCGATTTTTATGCAGGTGCGGCTGAAGCAAGAGGAAATGCTCAATGCTCTTCCAGCACAACGGCCAACAGAAGAACCGCCCGCCACTTCAGACTTTGCGTGCCCCATTTCGGAAAGAGTGCGTCTTGAGGCAGAGGAAACTGCGTCAAAATGTGCGCACGCAAAAGCGTCTGCATTCGCAACAACCCGTCGAAAGTTAGAACAGTGAGCTGATTTAGGTTGACCTGCCTGTCGAGTGATCACGGTCCCCGTACCGCTGCATCGGCCTTTGCATCTCTTGCAAAGTACATCAAACTACGCTCACATGCATGCTGCTAGTTACGAGTTACGAGGTACTAGTACTTGCGTTATTACTGGCATTAATTGCAGTAGTAGTAGTCGTCGTAGTCGTAGTGGTAGCCGTAGTCCCAGCCGCAGTAGTCGTAGTCCCACCATGATTGAATCGTCCCGGCGTTGAGGCTCAGGAGTTGCTGCTCTCCGGGATCTCGGCCCCTCAAAGGGAAGCCCAAGCGGCCGCAGTCTCGGCGCTGCGCCAGGAGGTGGTTTAGGGGTTGCAGGGTCGGGCTTGGGTTTTAGGGAATCAGACCTGAAAGTTTGGGTTTGATGTTTGGTCTTCAGGGTTTTGAGCTTGGTTGTCAAAGGCTCCTTTCCTGGGAGTGGCGCTTCTCAGGAACCCAGAGGTTGGGGCTGCCCTGTTGTTCGGTCGATCGGCAGATGCAGTTTGTGGTCGTAACGAGGATTTGCGACAGTGCGGGTTCTAAGCAGTTGCAGACTCCTTTGACGGAGTGGAAGCAGTCTCATGCCAGGGCTGCGAAATCGAAGAGCTCCTCGGTCGCATACAGTCGGACAAACTTCCGGTCGGCAGGGCTGGGCAGGGCTGAGTCCTTGAAGTGCTTCTCAATTTCTTCAGGATCTTCCTGGAAGACCTGGCTGTGGGCGAGTGGTTCGGATGACCCTTGCCAGCTCTTCAGCTTTGGATGTCTCGTCATGATAGGGATCTGAAGGGCAGTCTTTGTCTCAGAGCCTTTTGGCGGATGCTTTAAACCAGGTTTCAAAATATGCTGAATCCAACCTCTCGTGGCACTCTTGAGCGCCCTGCGCAAAAGATTGGGAAATCGAGGCTGGTCGACTCGTATCCAAGCCGCCGGCGGAGCAGCGTTCCGGGAGGTTCTCGGCACATCCGAGCTGGTACATGGCTTCAGTCTTGCTTTTCAGGGATTGCGCTTCTTTGAGCTCAGCAGCCCAGATTGTGGCACCTTTACTGCTGGGTTCAGGTGCTGTGCCAGAAGGGCCCGCTCTTCGGTCTGGGTGAGCTCCTGCGCTGCCGGTCGGCAAGTTTTGGAACATGCATGGAGCAGCCAGAGCTTAATATTCCTGAGTCCTGTATCGCTACAAAGCGCAGAGCTCGTCGCCGATGCCTACTTGAGGCTATGCCGTCGGCCGCTCCCCCTTCACTTTTCCAGCCCTGATGCTAGCTTTCCTCGAGGCAGGGGCAGTGTGCATTGGCCAAGAATTGCTCGCTGCTTGCGGCTTGGAGCCATGCCCACCCAACATTGTGACGGGACCGAGGATTGGGTACAATTGGTGGAGCCTCCGTTGGAGCTGGGGCCTTGGATTCACGAACGGGCATCCCATGTGCCGCCGTGACTTCAAAGTGCTGTGTCAAACCCTACCGGCCTTATTATTATCACTACTATTATTATTATTATTAGTATGATGATTATTATTGTTATGCTTATGGTTCTTCTTCTTCTTCTTATTAGTTTGAGGGTTTCGGGATGGGAAGAGCCGGCTCCTCAGGAAGCGCCTTCGAATATCTGCGGAGGCCTTCTTCAACGGCGTTTCCGGATTCTTCTCAGATAGGGAAGCAGAATTCTGGGTCCTCTGGGTAGCTGCGAGTTTCAGGGTTATTACCTCTGCTTCTTTCACCCAGCATTCTCTGGTTTCCGTAAGATCTGCATGCGCACTGGCGACAGCTCGGGCTTGCCGTAGGAACACATCTTCAGCCTCGACACATGGTATGAAGCTTGCGACAATTCCCAGTGCTTCCAAGCTCTGATATGAAGTAGGTCGAAGCCATGTGTCCATTTCAGAGGTTGAAGCCCAATTGCGGGAGGTCCTGACGCGCTGTCAGGCACAGTTGTTTTTGTGGTGTGCGGATTGGACTGCGGTTGCTCTGGGGGGCAGCGCCGCGTTGCACCTTGGGCAATGCTGTGATCTTCCGCAGGTTCTGTTGATGCCGACGCTTCCTCGTTCGCTACCAAGTTGGGGCAGCCGCAAACAATGCCGCACTTGCCGTCATCGGTTAGTCAGGGAGAAGTGGCAACTCCAGTGGCAACCCAAGGCCATGGCTGCCTTCATGATGAGCTTACCGTGAGAGTCTTCGACAGCAGCTTCACTGGGATTTGGCTTCTTGGATTCATAGTTTTCGCAGTGAATCTGCAAGTCACTGCTCGGTCTACTTTATTGTCTTGAGGGGTGCTTCGCATTCTGGCCCCACTTTTCCCGAAGATAGACGCCGGACACAGGGTTATCCTGCAAGCAAGCGAGCGAGCGGGAGAGAGCGGGCGGCGCACGTGCGGGGGGGGGGGGGGGGCTTCTGACCGCGGACCCTTCTGACCCACCAGAAGACAGAACGCAGAAGCGCGAAGAAGAGGAGACAGGAGAACGCGGGATCCCCGTGCCGAGTCGGAGTGACGGTTGCTTCAAGAGACTTTCTACGTAAAGATGTTAGTGAGGGAGCAAGCAGCGCAACGAGCATCGAAAGTTTGAAGTGAGGAACGCACTGGAGTTCCCGGCCACAGCGGTGCCCATGGGGCTTTCTGCTGGCAAGCCGGTGGGCGTGCAGATCGTTTCGCTTCCAGGCCAGAGTTGGAAGTCGATCGGGAAGGCTGTGTGTGGGGGGGCCACGCTGGGTGCTACCGGTGCGAGAGCAGCCACACTCAGAAAAGCTCCGGAGCGAAGATGGCAAGTGCTGTCTTTTAAACTCCTCACAGTCTCTCCACTAGGCAAAGACGAGCTGACCCTGGCAGTCGCCTCGCTGCTGGCCAACCTTGGTGTTGCCCGGTGTATCCCTCCTGGCATCTCGTTAACATCCTCGCTAATTACGTAGCCATTGCAGGTTTGCAGGGCCATGAACAGAATCGGAATCTCTAGAGCACAGTTCGGGAATCTCTCGATGAGTTCATAGGTGCATGGGTCTGTATTCATGACACATGATTGCACTTCTCGCTACAACCTACAGCTGCTTAGCGGGGACTGACTTGGCAACGAACAGCCAGATCTGGCTGGCGGCCAAAAAGGTTGTGTGCTTCTCAGGCTTCGGGATCAGGGGCATCCAAACAGACCGCCAAAGAAGCCCTGCCTCCTCGCTGAGAGGATGCAGTCCCGATAAGTGGTTTCGAGGGCCCGACCAGTTGCATCTCTGAAATAGTAACATGTATCTTCACGCATGAATCTGTGGCAGGGGCTTGCAACGGAATGTCTGAGGTCTTGTTGCACAGCCTTGAAGTGTGTCAGGACTTCGACCAGGCTATGGAGCATGCACATCTTTGTGAAGCAGGCATTCACACAAGTTTGGGACTTTGGGCCTCTGTGGATGAAAATGGTTCGCCTTTCAGCTGAAGGTTTTCGGAAGTTTGGACTGCTTTACCCTGCTGCCCGGAAGCAGAAAGTTGCACTGTGCTTCCCAGCGCGAAAGCACACAGCACTAGGCGTCCCTGCATCAAGGCAGCATTGGATCCGTATCGCTTCCTGAAGAGATGTGGGCGAAGTGCCTGGCTGTCCACCCGTCCCCAAACTAAATCCACAGCTCCGAACAAACTGCCGAGATTCCTTTCAAGCCGCAGGCACCTGGAGCAGGGGCTGGGCCCTCTTCTTCGTAAAGCGCGCCACCGAAGGCTCGTAGCACAGCATGATCAGACATCAGAGTGTTTCCATCGGACCCAAGCATGCTTCAGTACCCAGGGGTGCCAGGCAAGGTTGTTTGCTTGCTCAGCCGCTCGCAGCCTCTTCGGCCGCACAGCAAGGTTCGCTAGGTGCATCCTTTCTCCCTCAGTCCGACAAGCGCGCCTGGGATGTGGAAGTGGGGGTTTGAGAGACAAGTCGGTTGCATGACAGGTAATTTGAAGCTCACACTTTCAAAGTGTAGCCGACACTGGCTTTTGCGATCTGTCCCGCATCCTGAAATTCCTTGTGCCTTAAGTGCCTGCAGCTGGACCCCTCTGTTTCAGAGCGGCTTTGCAACAGCCCGAGGCCATGGCTGCCTTTGTCGCCGTTCCCAGCTCCGCAACCAGCACTGCCCTGCGGGGCAGCCTGCAGCATGTTCCCCAGGTGACAGATCACAGCATGTAACAGCAGCAACATTCAACACAAGTACTCATGAAGATGTAATGGCACTATCGACATCCTGATGTCTGCACATACATACATGCATACATACGTACATATATCAACATCAACATCATCATCATTATCACCATCCTCGTCATCATACTCATCATCTCCTCATCACCATCCCCATCCTCATCATCATCCTCATCATCTCCTCATCACCATCCCCATCCTCATCATCGTCATCAACAACATCATCATTACCAGCATCATTATTGCCATCATCGCCATCATCACCACCATGATGATGATCATCGCCACCATCCTCGTCAGCATCATCGTCTTCATCGTCGTCATCATCATTGTCATCATCATCGTCATCATCGTCGTCATCATCATGATCATCATTAACATCATCATCATCATCATCATCACACCACAGTCATCATAATCATCCTTCCGGTTGTTGCCACCCTCATCTGCAAACGCATGACGGAAAATTAATCCTCCTGGTCGTCAGCGGCCTCATACACGTGTACGGAGAAACACTAAAAGACAAGTAGCTTGAGATCTCATGAAGTTGGAGGCTCCTCCGAGCCCTGCTCCAGCGGCATCTCTTGCAGCCACTTGGCATGGAAACAGCAATCGTGAAGGTCAGCCTGGGAAAGTCATAGCGAGGTGTGTATCCGCATGTCTGCGGCCGTTGTGCAAACCGTTCTCGCTGGAGGTCAAGGGAGCCCTGGGTGTTGCAGCCGTGGGTGCTGCAGTGGCCGCGGGCACGCGCCGTAAGCATCGGTCTGCTCTTGCAGGCTTTGGGGCGTCCGGTCCGGAAGAGCAGTTGGTTTGAGGAATCTTCGGGTGTTGTCTACTTTTTTCGATTCTTAATGCTGCTGAGATTTCAGTCCGTCTGCCAAAGCTGCATAGCGGTGTCCCTCAAACCAACAGCACAACATGCAAGTGTCAAATAGTTGGCCGACCTACAACCAGCAGCAGTGTCGCAGTGAACCCAAACTCTTTGCAGGTGCAGCTACCGTGACCAAGCTCTCAAAGACACGGTCTCTTGCAGATGCGAAGGTTGTCGTGTGTGCAGGCGCAATGCTCCCAGAAGCTCAGCTGCAGCCCGATGGCATGAATGGGAAAGAGGAGTCGTGGTCGTTGTGGCTACATGAGCCAGTGGCCCCAACAAAGCGCATGCCTTCGGAGCCACATGGTACGTTGCTCTATAATAGTCGAGAGAGACAGACTTCGTGCAGCTTGTCATTCGTCAGCATGGCATACTGTAGCAGCGGTGTGTCTCCTTGTTTTGTTCAGAGCCCGTCCGTCCGTTTGCAAGCATGTCGTGCCATATGGTCTGAAAGAAGCATCCGGCGGATCTCACGCCGTGCCATCCGAGGAGGGACGCAAGCTGCGTGTGGCCGTCATCGGCGGTGGCCCGGCCGGCGCCAGCACAGCAGATGCCTTGGCCCAGGCACCGCAGGGCACAAGAACCGCAGATGTTCAATACTGCTCGTAGAGGGATATCGAGGGGCGGGGCGCACGTCACACTATCACTGGCCCTCCACCCAACTCTCTCTCTCTCTCTCTGTCTGTGTCTCTCTGTCTGTTTCTCTCTGTCTGTGTGTGTTCGTCTCTGTGCCTCAGCGAAGTGCAGCTAGATAACTGGGTTAGAATCTTGATGTGTGCTGCAGGAGGGCATCGAGACTTACCTCATCGAGAGGAAGCTGGACAACTGCAAGCCATGTGGTGGGGCCATTCCTCTGTGCATGATCGAGGCCACAAAGGGGACGGACAGCATCATAAACGGCAAGCATCTACTCGTTGCTCCTTGCGACACCCGGAGTTCTCAATGGTTAGCAAGGTAAGCCAAACAAGGCTGTCCCAGAGCCGTAGCGCCGGTCTCTGTTTGCAGAGTCTACACATGCGTAAGCTCTCCAGGAGTTCGACCTGCCAAAGGACATCGTGGACCGCCAGGCCTGCCCGAGAGCTGCCGCTCTGACGACCTTACGGCCAAGAGAAGCCCGAGAGTCTTAGCCCTCCTCGGAGGTTCGCAAGATGACCATGATCTCTCCTACGAACAAGGAGGCCTAGTAGGGAGCTGGGGGATCTTTTTGGACCTGCGCATTTCGTGTTGTGCATGTTGTGCAGGTGCAGATTGGCCAGACCCTGAAGGACGACGAGTTCATCGGCATGGTGCGCCGCGAGGTCCGACATCCGACTTCTGGACTGCAGGGTCACAGGGATTGTCGTTGTGCAGGTGCTTGACGACTTCCTCCGCCAGAGGGCCAAGACCAACGGTGCCACGCTGATCAACGGCCTCTTCATGGGCATGACGATCCCTCAGAGCAAGGCCAGGCTGCAAGGGTTGCAGATGGGGCTTCGTCCTGTCAAGCTTCGACTTCGGTGAAGGAAGGTTCTGCACTCTCGGGGCTGTTGCTCTGCCAAAACGACCCGCTCGGGCTTTTCGCAAGCGTCAGCCCGGGCTCGAAGCGGAGCGTAAGCCGTGTAGTCGACGGCCTCAGGAAGAGTCTTATGT